AAAATAGGAGAAAAGGAAAAAAATGGAAACAAAGCCTTTGCAAATAGGGAAGGGTGGAGGGGGTGAAGGGAGGGCAGGGGAAGGGGAAAAAAAATAAGAACCAAGATACTCATGTAATGGTACAAGATCCCAGTGATGTATGTAAACATATTTTATGCCTAAAATGTACCAATAAACTTAGTGGGGAAAAAAAAAAGAAAATTTGAAAATCATTTGACTTATGTTTGGGAAATTTAAGTTAAATATAAGGGGCTGAGGATGGTAAAGTGGTTAGCATGTATAAGGCCCTGGTTCCACTCCAAACATCATAAAAAAATTGTGTGTGTGTGTGCGTGTGTGTACCATTCAAATGTTAGAGGTTATAAAATACATAGAACATAAATATAAATGCTTCTTTGCAGGGATCTGGACTAGGTGATCTCTAAATGTATAATGCAAAGTATTGAACAAAAAGTTTTGCAGCACCATGATGCATTTGACAATCCCTCCCAAAGACTTTATGAGGATGTAGGTGTTTATCTTGGCACCTGCCTTACCTAAGACTTTTAAGATGACATAACTCCACATGTAGCGCCCTGAGTTCTTCACCTTGCATGTGTACCGGCCCTCGTCACTGGGCTTCAGAGGCTCAATCTGCAGGGAGGCATCTCCAGCCAGGAAATTGGAAGCAAAGGCCACTCGGCCCTTCTGTTCCTCAGAGAAGTTACTGTAGACACGACGACTGGAGTAAGTGATCACCTGTGGGACAGACCAAGGCAGGATCAAGCAGTGTGGCTCTCAGCCTTCCTCTCCTGCTGATGTTACTAAGATGAGGAAAGGGAATACTCCCAAGGGCACAAAGTAGTCAAGCTTGTGTCTGATTTTAAAGGGTCCAAGAGACCTCTTCTAAAAACAAAAGCACAATACATTTTTCCTTCCAAGAATAATACCTTTTACTGTGTAGCATTTAAGTAAAAAGTACTAATTATTTTATTGGATGCCCAGAAACACTTCATTTTATGAGTTAGGAATATGAATTATATACTGAAGTTCACACACTAAGTGAAGGAAAGGAGGAAAGTTTGCAAGTGTACAGCCATACACATATTAAGCATAGAATATTCCTGAAAGGGAACACAACAAATGGTGTAAAGCACTCTCCCACTGAGCTACTTACCAGCCCTTTTTCAACATTTAGAGATAGGGCTTTGCTAAATTTCCCTGACTGGTCTCAAACTTTTGATGTTCCTGTCTGAGCCTCCTGAGTAGCTAGAACTATAGGCATGCACCACTGTGCCTGGCTTTATCTTTTGTATTTCCTACCATTTGCATGTGGCCTCTTTACACTACACGCCTCATGCTAGGTCTATTTAGATGGTGTCTTGTTCATTTCTCACCACAGTTTTCCAAGTAGTCATATTTTTCTCTAAGTAGCTGTTATCTCCATTTCACAGACAAGTGGCAGAACAGGATTTATTTGAATAGAAATCTTCTAAAAACATTAAAGTCATTGTTCTTATGTGCCATAGTTACCTCTGTCTCTCTTTTACCTCTTGCATTAATTTAACTGCTCATTAACTGTTCTCCCACGAAGTTTAGAAATGGAGAAAAAATGCGAAATTGAAAAAAATCAATCTTCTGTTCTTATGCAAGTTGAGCGTCTGAGGGAAGGGAATGGAGAAGTTAAGAAGTAAAAGTTAATGGTTAAGGGCCGGGGATTTATCTCAGTGGTGCCATGCCTGTCTCACAAGCCCAAGGTCCTGAGTTCAATCCCCAGTACCAAAAAAAAAAAATTAATGGTTAAAATTAAGGTATGATACTGCGGACTTCATTGTTTGATTTTCCTTTTTTGGTGTTACTGCAGATTAGTAATAATTAGTTAGGTGGGAGAAATTAGGTTTCTTCCTCCCATAAAATACAAATACATATGCTAATATCTTTGTTTTCCCAGTTATGGAGACCAAAGTTTAGATTTCCCCAGCAGGGGGGAAAAAATCTTGATTTTTAGTGAATTTTTGTTTGCTCATATGACAGCATCTAGTTCTTTAAACTTTCCCTGGATTCTCTTCGTTGATCACTCCTGTTAGTCACAAAATACCATCCTGATCTGGTCCCCCAAAACTTCAATCATGTAACTTTAGCTTTATTCTCCCTGTGACTCAGGAATCATATTAAACTCATTTGATTGAAAAAAACTCATTTGATTGAAACATCAGCAAACATGCAGTGAATGCTTATATCAGGTCTGGAAGAAGCCATTCAGATGAGTAAGTCTCTCTTCTTGTCTCAAGTAATTTATAATCTGGTGGGATTATCAGAAGAGAAATATAAACATCAAAAAGGAGGGACAGGGATTTAGCTCAGTGACACCCCGCCTGCCTGGCAAGTGCAAGGTCCTGAGTTCGATTCCCTTACCCAAAAAAAAGAGAAAAAGAAAAAAGGAATGATTTACTTTAGTTATTGGGGGGGAGTGTCTCAGAAAAGTTGGTGATATCTGCATCATGCTTTGAACAATAAGCCAACTAAGAGAGGAGGGGAAGTAGGGAAAAAAAAGGGCCGGAAAGAGCATTCCAGATGCATAATGCAGTACTAAAAAGCCAGCAAGTATATAGGAGTTGCAGCCCTGGCTGCAGCTGTTCAGAGTGTTTCATTCTAAGCCCTTAACTCATCCTCAGTCGCAAGGCAGGAGGATCACAAGTTCAAGCCTGGCCTGGGCAACTTAGTGACTTAGCAAGATCCTGTTTTATTTATTTATTTATTTATTTATTTATTTATTTATTTATTTATTTATTTTTTAGCAAGATCCTGTTTTAAAAAACAAAAAGGACTGGAGATGTAGCTCAGTGTGAAGGGCCTAGGTTCAATCCCTAACAACAACAACAAAAGTTTTTTTTCCATTCTCTGAATATTTTTCCTCAGCAGATATTTACTGAGCTCCTGTGTCAGGTACTGTGCTCATCATCACTGAGAAAACAAATGGGAATAGGACAAAATTCTCACACGGAAGAGTTCATAGTCTGAAGAGCACATGGTCTTGTGGGGAGAGGGGAAATGGAGAAAAGTAAGAGAATATTAAGCACTGTAATTGAGCTAAAACATTCATTCAGTATTACCCTTATTTTATTTTATTTTTGGTAGTGGGGATCTAACTCAGGACCTTGCACTTGTGAGGCAGGCAGCAGCATCACTGAGCTAAATCCCTGGCCCTGCCCTCATTTTTTTTTTTTTTTTTTGGTACTGGGGATCGAACTCGGTCCTTGTGCTTGCGCAGCAGGCAGCGAAACCAGTGAGCTAAATTCCCAGTCCAAATGTGGGTTTTTTTGTCTTTTTTTTTTGGTACCAGCGATCGAACTCGGGTCCTTCCATTTGCGAGGCAGGCGGTGGAACCACTGAGTTAAATCCCCGGCCCCCTGCCCTCATTTTAAATAACAACACTGCCGTGCCAATTTGCATATCCTTGTCTCCATCTTCAACACATTTCTGAGCTCCAGTTATTTAAAAAAAGGTTTTTTTCCTTTTTTTTTTTTTTTTTTTTTTTGAGATAGGACATTGCTTTGTTGCTCAGGCTGGCCTTGAGCCCTTGGCCTCAAGAGAGCCTCCTGCCTCAGCTTCCTCATTTGCTGGAACTTCAGATATGTGCCACTATGCACAGTGTGAATTCCAGTTTCGTATCTCCAGTGTCTGGCTGTTACATACTCATGTCTACTCCAATTTATCCTATACACTACTGCCAAGTTAATCTTATTAATATGAAACATACAACTCTTTTCTAACTCAAAAATGTTAGTGACTCTCCAATACCTCTGAATGATAACTAGACTCAGACGAGGGTCCTTAAAATGACCTCTGAGTTACCATCACACTCCTTCCTTACTCAGACACTTCATGCACCTGGATGCAATCAGTCTGACCTCATTTCCCTTTTGTTAGCATGAGCTGTGCTAGTGCTATCTGTGTGTTCCTAGGCCATTGTTGACTGCATTGCCCCACTTTTCTCCATCTTCTGCCTAAAAAAATCCTATTCATTCTTTTTGTGTGTGTGTGTGTGGTACCAGATATTGAACTCAGGATCTTGCATTTTCGAGGCAGGCGGCGGTACCATTGAGCTAAATCCCTGGCCCTCCTATTCTTTTAAGTCCAAAATCAGTGTTACTCTCTCACGAAACCTTTCCTAATGTGACACTCAGACTGAGTCTGAGTCTTATCCATAGCGTTTCTTTGCAACATTTCTTTTTGGAGGTAAAGGAGCTAATGATTGAACCCAGGGCCTTGCCATGCTAAGCACAAGCTCCACTGACCTACACCCCCAGCCTCTACACCACTTTTATTTTATTTTTTTAATAGCAAAATATTTATTGGTAATTTTAGGCATACATAATGATAACACTCATCTTAGGGAGTTTCCATCTGTACATGATTCATCTCGCTCCTTTTTTCCCCATTTCCCCTCTTCTCTAAAGCCCCTTCCCCTCCCTATATACAAAAGCATTGTTCCCATTTTTTCCTTCTATTTTCACTTTTTTTCTTGTCCCTTCCTTCCTTTCTCCTTCCTTCCTCCCTTGTTCCCCTTCCCATTTGAACATTTTCTTCCCATTTCCCAATATCTGTTATATATTTTAGTCCTTATTTCCACTTTCAGTTTCTGATACCTGAGAAACAATGCAGTATTTAAACATGTGTGTCCAGTTTATTTCACTTAAGAGTATCGTCTCAAGGTCCATCCATTTAGCCATAAATGTCTGAAGCTCATTGTTCTTTTTGGCAGAGTAGTGCTCCATTGTATAAAAAACCTACATCTTTATCCATTCATCAGTTGATGGGCATTTGGGCTGTTTCCAAGATTTAGCTGTTACAAATTGTGCCGCTATAAACATGTGTTGCACCACCTTTATTTGAAGATGAATTATTATTTTTTTGATTAAGTTTATTGGTACATTTTAGGTATAAAATACATTTACATTCATCATTGAGATCTTGTACCTTTACATGAGTATCTTGGTTGGAGATGAATGATGCAAGACTTATGGGGAAATGGGTTGTTGGGTGTGCTTTCTATATTTCAGGGATGTGTCCAGGGACTTTTCAAGGTTATCTGATTTTATGTACATCTATTGGTTTTGTCTCTGGCTAGGCTGTTTTATGACTCTTCATTCAATAACCACTTATTAGCCAAGCGCAGTGGCTCATGCCTGTAATCCTAGCACTATGAGGCTGAGGCAAGAAGATCATGAGTTTGAGGCCAGCCTGGTCTACATCGTAAGACCCTGTCACAAACAAACAGCATTAAAAATACACTCCACACTTGGGTTGTGCTAGAGATGGTAACAGTACAAAGAAAAGGATAGCTTAAGTGTTAAAGGGTACTTTTTTTAAAGGTAAAACAATGTACTCATGACATATATTCATGAAAAATAAAACGTGTCAGGGATTTTATTTTACTTATTAATGATAGAACTAGTAAGATGTTATAACCAAAAAAAAAAAAAAAAAAAAAAAGATGTTATAACCAGTTCAAATGAGAATTGGGACTAAAAGTTACATATTCTCCTTTGGACAAAGTTCATTTGCATCTCTGTGAACAAGAATGATTTACACTAGCATGGATCAAAACGTGAACACCACTCTAAGCCATCCATAGGTTAATTTCTATGCTTGTAAAATTAATACCCAAGCAAAATTAGACCCTAATTTATCTCTAGGGAACTTGAACTCTAAACCTTTTAGATTCTAAAAGGCAAAGGCCTTTTCCCAAGATGGGT